AGTTTTATATGGGCAGAGACCTTGGCTGTCTTGTTCATAACCTTATATCCTGCATTGGGCCACAAACACCTTGACTGATTTGTAGATGATGTTAGATAAGAATCTGGTCATGGTTTAGTGCATAAATCCGTGCTTATGCATCCCTTTCTTCTAATGACCACTTTTTCACATATGGGACCTCTCACCTTAGTATTGTGATTCACACTTAAAGTATGCCATATATGCACACGCCTCCTACAACCTAATGTATAATTCACCTCTTCCTCATCAAGTAAGGCTCCTTAGCAGTTACCACCTATGTCCTTTTATGTCCTACATATGTTTTATGTGTAGGTGCACGCACATAGAGGTCTAGCACACTCACGTGTACCTGCACCTCTTCCTGTCACACACATGAACTAGGCAGCAGAGGCTTTCTGTTTTATCTCACATAAAACAGGCTGAAACCAACAGGCATGCACACACACAAATACACACATGCTAGTACAGAAAGTGATGCGGGGAGGTAGGGGCATGCACTTTACCTCCCTGTGGCTCATCCTAGCCATGGGACTCTAAAATGTGTACCATCAAGGCTAGATCTGAGACCAGACATCAAGCAGAAGTATGAACTCTAACTCCTATTAAAATCTCTTTCTCACACCCCCCCCACACACACCCCTTTACAAATTTTCTCTTTAAAACAAGAAGTCAAACTGCAGAAAATAATTTTAATCAACGTCATGCTAGTGTGGGCTGAGGGTGAAATAGCATATTAATGCTTTTATCTCTGCTGGGTACGTGGCTGACTTCACCATTGATTCCATTCGAAGTCGCACCCCAGGTGTGTTCCCGTAGCATTTCTGCATTAAGCAGCTGCGAGACCAGGTCTAACATCTTTTATTATCTTGGCAAAGCTGCACACACTGAGTGGTGGGGCCATAATAAAAAGATCCAATACCCCATTAGCACAGCTAAATATTTGACTTCTAAACTCAAGTGGAAAATGAAACTCAGTGCCTGGAGAGAAGATGGTGAGGGGTTGCAATGTCTAGGAACGGAACCACAATTCTTTCTTGTGTTATAGCAATTTAGGTTTACTATGCCTTGTAGATGTCTCTTTTCATTTAATTTTCACAACTGCTACCTGATGTAGGTTGGCATTATCATCCCTATTGATAGGTGAGGGAACTGAAGCTTGGAGGTGTGACGTGACTTGTCCAGATGATTGGCACTTAAATCTGCGTGGTCTGTAAAGTACATAGTGCCGTATTCTTTAATCCGTGTTGGTTCCCTCTTCTTCCACATCCTCTGGCTCAGATGCTCAGTGTTAAGTAGAGAATTTCCTAAAGGGAAATTATGGTTTCAGCTTCACATTGGGAAAGAAACTGCTTTCCTTTGCTCACGTCTTGCCCTCCTGCCTTTCTTCTTTCCTCAATCCCTTCCAACAAAATCATATTGGACCCCACCACCTCCTATGTGCCAGCTCTGTGCCAAGTGCTGGGAATGGAGCAGTGACTAAGACATATGATGCCCCTATCCTAACGGATATTCCCTCTAGCAGAACGAATGGACTAACATTTCTAAATCGTAGCAGAAAATGATGAAACAGAAAAATACAAGGGGATGGAAAACTTGAGGGGATCTGGAAGGATGGGTTATGTAAATTGCCCTCAGACAATGACATCAAAGCTAAAATTCGAGCAGGGCTCAGTCGTGACAAGGCAGGTGCAGTGTGCAGATGGAGGGAATTCCTTGAAGAAACCACATGTACAAGTGCTCAGAAGGATGAAAGGACATGCTGACTTGAGTCACTGAGAGCGGGTTATTATGACTGGAGGGTAAATTGGTTGTAAATTGGCCAGCAAAGTGGGCAGTGGCCAGATCTCCAAGGGGTTAAGGCACGGAGTTAAGAGGCTGTTATGCTAATACAGGTGAAAGTTGACAGTGGCTATGGGAAGGGATAGGACTTTTTCAAGATTTAATGTGTAAACAAATTACCTAGAAATCTTGTTAAAATGCAGATTCTGATTCAGTGAGCCTGGGATGAAGGCTGAGATTCTGCCTTTCTAACAAGCTCTCAGGTGATACCCAAGGCGTGGTCCTTGCACCACACTGCAATAACGAGATCTAGACCTGTGCTGTCCAACGTGGTCACCACCAGCTGCATGTGCCTAATTGAGCAATTGATATGTGGTTGTCTCTAATCGAAATGTAATGTGAGTATTAAGTACAAATTTGATTCTGAAGACCTAAATAGAAAAGAAAATGTAAAAAATGTCTATTTAATTGTTTTTACATTGAAATGATAATATTTTGGATATATTAGATTAAATACATAGAGCATTAAAATGAAATTAACTTGTTTTTACTTTTTGAATATGCCTACAAATTAAATCACATCTATTGATTATGTGCTTACCCGTATATTGGCTTAAATGAAATATATTATTATAATTAATTCTACCTGTTTGTTTTTACTTTTTAAAGTGTGGGTGCTAGAAAATGTAAAATTACATAT